TGAACCGTATGAGTTGTTGATCCTAGGTTGTAGCTGTTACAACCCGAGTCCACTGAACACCGTCCGGCTCCGACAAGAACATGAGTCTGATACACTATCGTCATATCGGCATCCCACTAACAACCATGAACCCTGCGATTCCTGGATTATCCGGATGACTTGACCTCTCTCCCCGAAAATGCTGGTGTCATGCGCTATCAGGTCTAGATGCAATTTTAACTCATTGCAATGGACTATTGCTGTTACTATCGATATAGCCTTTGATACAGGGCAAAGAGTGATATCGGCTATCTGGTAGCCCGTGTTGGCGCTGAGTCCATAATTGGTGTTGGGTTCATTGACACCCTTCGCTCTCAGAGATGGTGTTTGCGGGGAGCCGGATTGAGTAACCCTGTCTGTTTCGGGCCTAGACGGGTGTCGTGAATGGGACAATATTACTTGTCGAGACGTCCCACAATCCTGTGGTCTAAGAGCGGTTCGTGATGCCCCTCGCCCCTTCTTCCAGGAATGTTAATTGCTTGGTTTATGTCGCCGAGAACTTGTCACTGACATATCACAGGCCTGGCTGAGTTCATCCTTAGAGCTCTCCCAAACTTGATCATTGTTGGCGTCGCCATCATCTTCACCCATCTCTGGATTGTAACTGAAGTATTGACTACTCTCTCTTCGTTTAGATGGAGAGATTGACTGTCTTGGAGAATACAGCAGCTCTTTCTCCATCCCACCCTCTTGGTGCTTGCTGTTACCGCTATTCTGTGAATTATGGAGGTTGCTTCGAGATAGGTTTGAGCCGTAGGCGCCATCGTCTTTGCCACTACCGTCCCCGTCACCAGGATTTAGATCACTGCTGACTCTAACAGGCAATAAATGACTGCCGCGTGCCTGCAGTGGCGTCATCGTCGACGACAACGTTGGTGTGCACATAGGTTCAAGGCTCTCTCCCTGGGGCTGGGCCGACCGCCGCTTTGCTGAGCGGGAGTTTTCCGAGGCTGGTTTCGAGGTGCAGTCTAGCCTTCCTAGAGAGGAAGGTTTTGTATCGACCAGTGAGGCGTGCTTCCGTTTGCGTGTTGCAGATAGTGGGTTCCTCATATCAATATCATTGTAAGGTGCGTTCTGTTTGATACAACTGTCTTCCAAGGGCGTTAAAACCCATTTCTTAAGAGTGCAGGAGGACTGCTCACCATTATACACAGCTGTCATGTTTTCCACGGATGTTGTGCGCATGCCAGCTGCATCGAGGTCATCATCCAGAAGTAAAGGAAATCCTGTCATTAATCAGCAAAGTAGTGCCGCAACACCATCAGCACACCTACCTGGATTACTTCCATCAAACAAGTCTATATCCTCGACGTCTACAGTGAGGCAAAGCTCTTCCTGGCCAGACTGCTTACTCCGTGATATCTGCGAAGGAGAAAAAGTGCTCAGGTTGCCGTCGCCATCTGCACACATGTCAGCCGGGATCTATCAGCTTCTGCTGAAGAGCTGAATATACTTGGATATAGCGAATGTAAAGGGCTAGTAGTTCCCACCGTAGCTAGCGGTTCCGGACTCGGAGAATGCAACGCAGTGAAGTTTGACAGATCGGTTGAGAAATCGTGGATGTCAGCCCACCCTCTGTTACCTCCGTCAGAGTCAACTTCGTACAGATTATGCTCCGATATACTCAGGTTGCAGCACTACAACCTAGGATCAACAACTCATATGCCAGAAAGCTACTCTCCGAACATCAGCTGTAGAGAACCCAGCTGAAATCTCAGCTGTAGAAAACCGAGCTGAAGCCTCAGCTGTGCAGGGCTCATCTGAACTTACTAGCGCGCCACCCTGGGGGTGGCCCCCTTCCTTCCCCTAGTATATATACAACTAGCTAGACGTCTATAGAAATCAGAGTTCACATCAATTTCAACCTGAGTGATATGGGGGGCGTAGGCGGGGCCGTAGGCTTGGGCGTAGGCTTGGGCGTAGGCTTGGGCGTAGGCTTGGCCTTCAGCTTGGCCTTCAGCTTGGCCTTCGGCTTGGGGTCAAGTGCTGAAGGTTTGAAAGAAGGTTTGAAGGGAACAAATTTCATGGGACGCGGAATGGTGGCCAGTGGAAGGGGAAAGCTGACAGCAGCCATTGTAATAGGGCTTTACTGGACGCTGTACTCGGGAATAGTGCTGCGTCCAGAGGGTTAAGTACTTGGTTATCCCTCCGAGCTGATAACTGTTACCTAGCGTACTGTCACTAACAATGCCATCCGAGATAGGCTTATGTGAAGCCTGCATAAATGCCGCAAAATAGTATGGAGGCTTAGTCGATACGGTGGTGGGGACAAACGGTGTTAAGTTATCCAGGCATCATCGCAACAAGGGAATGTGGCAAACCACCCTGTTTGCTTTGTACGGAACCGCCGATAACCAGTTATCCCTTTGATCACCGGTCACATCCCTACACTCCGTCCGCGTCCCACAGCTTAACCAACGCCACTTCACTGTCAGTTGCAATTTTCCGGACGCCAGCTCCTTACTAGTTGCATTAAGTCGTTGCAGCCACGTTAGACACTTTATACAAGGTGGAGCATCCTATAGGGGTATTATAGCAGTGCAACAGTTATAAGAACAAATTAATGCCTTATACAAGTGCAAGTACAAGTGTAAGTACCCTGCCGCGTTATCTCTAATAGATCCAGGCCCAAGCAGAACACGGATAATAGACTGCGGATTGGCCAGCGTATTCTACTAAAGGACCGAACTTAGAGGGCATAAGACTGGATAACTAGAGCTAAGATAATAGCATAAGCGCTATTTATCAATCCACCCGGAGAGCATCTTATTCCGGTAAGAGTGGGATATAGAGGCCCTCTTTTGTCTCCCCCGGCTACGGCAACGCCGAGCCGTTAGCGGCCAGCAGCTTCCAGGCACCTGCCGCTTGTTCGTGGCACTGCAATGTTACAGCCACGGCAGACACGGCATGCAAGGCGGAGCATCCTAAAACCAGGTCATTATTAAGAGATCTAGTCCGAGCGTCGTGCAGAGAACAGACCAGATTAGCCAGCGTACTCGACCGAGGGAGCAGGAAGCGAGAGGCAAGGTAATTAGAGCTAAGACAACAGACGGCATAAGGACCATGCAAACTGTCTTCAACCAAGTTTTGCGTGAGCTGGTGCGTTGCAGAGGCACTAATGCCTCGGCGGTTAAGAAAGGAAAGGCTAGGGGGATATGCTAATTAGTCGCCCAGTAAGGTGCTAGACAGTGCAATAGATGGAGTAAATCCCTCCTTTAACCGAAAGAACAGCTTCAAGCAATAAGAATGTAAAAGTTGAGGAAGAAGTGGAATAAAGGGAAAATAAAGAAGCATCTTGCTTATAGATTCTTGCGGATAGAAGCCCAGAAGTGCGTTGTCCGGCGGCATGCCTCGGCTTGTGCAAAACCTAAGATAACTAGCCTATCCAAGAGGGGTATGACTGTGAGGACGGAGTAACGAAAAGGGGAATCAGGTGCCATAGCAAGGCGGTCCAGCTACGGGCGGCTAGGTTTGCGAAAATTGCCTCATAAAGGGTGACGAGTTAAGGGCGGGCGGCGAAGACGGGCTGTGCAAATGGGCTTCGGATGGGCCGATAAGAGTAGGGAGAAAAGGATAAGGAGAGGGAGGGAAAATGACGGCGAAATGGGGCCCTTTTATGGTGGCCGTCGAGGTCGATTACCGAGTCGGGCGTAGCGCAAAAACCGTACGCGAGGCGCGGATTGCCTGAACAGGGTGCATCCATTTCCTAATGCAGGCTTGCCGCCAGAACCTTTACTATAATATAAACTTATATTTACTTTAATCTAGGGGGCGGGTAATTTAACACCCCCTTTCGAGTAGCCGCACACCCCTTTTCGAGTAACCACACACCCCCCCTCTCTTGGCGCTTCACCGCCTTCTGATTGGCTTGGAGAACTGCTCCGGAGCTTCCGATTTGCTCGCTTAACTTGCTCATTAATTCCGAATGCTCTCTCCAAATGCAGCCTTGGTTACAATCAATTACATCCTCTTCCTCTCCCTCTATAACACACTTACTATGGCCCTCCAGCCGCCACGGCTGGCGTACTACGCTATAACAGAGGAAGTGCATATTGCTCTACAAGCGCACGCATCAGCGCAGGCCTACGGCCTAGCAAAATACCGTAGTAAACCAGACAGAGTGGACATACGAGCATACCTCCAGGACGCATGCCGACAGCTCCGCCGCCAGCACCGCCTATTTCTGTAGTCCCTCATCTAGCTCCTGTCGCTCGGAATGCCTATCAGTCGACAGCTACACCGGTTAATCTTTCTCGTATTAATCCAGCCCTTCTTAGGCCTACAGCTGCATCTACGGCAGCACCTCTACGGCAGCACCTACGGCAGCACCTACGGCAGCACCTATGGCAGTACCTACGGCAGCACCTATGGCAGTACCTATGGCAGCACCTATGGCAGCGCATACAGCAGCGTATACAGCAGCGCATACAGCAGCGCATACAGCAGCGCATACAGCAGCGCATACAGCAGCGCATACAGCAGCGTATACAGCAGCGCCTACGGCTACACCTACGGCTGCACCTGCAGCTAAGAAGCCCGGCCGGCCGCCTAGTGCAAAGGATAAGGTACCACGGAAAAAGGCACTTTAGAGGAAAGATAGTACTCAGCATACAACTCAGCCTATGCCTCAGCCTCAGCCTTATCCTCAAGCACAGAGGCTTAGCCGAGAGGAGCTTCTACGTCAGCTTGCAGCGTATAATGAGGAAATCGAGGGGTATATTAATTAGAGTGAAGAGTACGTGTAGGCGGCGATGCTAGGGGGCCAGGCTTGATGCAAAGAAGCCGTAATAAGGTGAAGTTTTGACAGGTTTGGCATGCTATTAGGCACGTAGGTACTTCTAGAATAGAATTCTATTCTATACTTATACTTAGACTTAGACTACGTGAGCTCGTACGTGAGCTCGTACCTGAGGCTATACGTGAGGCTATACGAATCGGCATAGCTATATAGCTGTACGTGAGCTCGTGTATAGCATCACGTACGGCCTCGTTGTATAGCATCACGTACGGCCTTGCGTATAGCATCACGTGTAGAGAGACGTAAAGGTGAATGCTCAGAGCTTCCTCCGCACTGCTCTAAGCCAATCAGAAGGCGGTGAAGCGCCAAGAGATGGGGAATGTGTGGTTACTCGAAAGGGGGTGTGCGGCCACTCGAAAGGGGGTGTCAATTTACCTGTCCCCTATTTATAATAGTAAATCTATATAGCTTTAGTATATATAAGTATATAGCTGCTTTATTAGCTTCTGCACTATATGGCTATACCTAGTTATATTACTCTCCTTTTAATTATATATATAAGCTCGCATATTTACTATAATATAAACTTATATTTACTTTAATCTATCTAACGAACTCCTAGTGTTTCCGCCAGCAATTATTTCCCTTTTTAGGTACCAGAGCCATTGTATTTTATTCCTTCGGCGTACGTGCACGTAATACAGGTGGCATACTTGTTTGAACAGTATAGAGGTGGATACTGTGCAAAGAAGGGTTGGGTAAAAAGGCTTCCTCTATTCTGATGGTGGTGGCTAGTTGGGGGCGGTGGTATAGTTGGTGAGAAGTGTAAGGGATCAATATGCAGCAATGAGAAGATTGGCTTCATATATGCGCTGCTGTGGAACACAAGCAAATAGAAGTGAAATGAGTTGATGTTAGATGGGTCAGACACTTACAGCAAGCAATACTGGTAGCAAACAAGGCGCTCATGTATAGAATGTTCGCGTTCCGCCAACGTTCTGATGCTACGTCCCGCAAACCAGTAAATAGCACACTGGAAACCGAGACTTTGAGCATCACGCTGTGATAGTCACCTTTACGAACGCACCGATGTAGTACTAAATTAGGGTCAAATGTAAGTTACCGAGAGGCACAGTCCTATTTAGTCATTGAAGGACCCAAACTCTCGTGAGTGGCAAAGTCTCATCCAACTTCAGACATCGTTGAAGCCCCGAACGGATATGAAACTCCAAGCACTAGCGGTGCCTAGGGATCCCGAGCCTGGACCTGATTCCGAAGTGAGCCACACTGTCCTCGAGGAAGGTGGAAGAGGCCCGCTTTGACTGCCTTCACGGTCCACTTAGCCCAATCAATCTGGGCGTCAACGTAGTACTCATCAAGCCCGCGACGCTCAATGTCGTCGTTTCGGCATTGAATAATGAATTTAGCCCGGTCCGTGGCAATGACAACCAAGGGAGGAACCACATATCCAGCGTACCTCTCCGCCTTGGTTTGCTCGAGAAGGAATATTCGCTCGATCTCATCAAGAGCGCAGTTCCGATATGCGAACTCCGTTCGGGGGGCAGCGGCACGTAGACGAGTGAGGATCTCGTTGTTGCAGTGAAGTTGGCATCCAGCTTCTGGTTTGGAGGTACCCTCGGTCGCTGTTTGAAACTCCTCATCTGGGTACTCTGAGTCGTCGGAATCGAAGTAGGTGTCTTGGATCGCCATCCCGTCGAATTTCCCCTTCGGCGTGGATTCCGCGTCCGGAATGGTGATGTCGGTTTTATCTTGCAGGTCAATTCGAGACATGGGCAAGGACACGTCCTCTTCATCGTCTTCCGTCGCTAGCTCCACAGACCGACCTTGAGCGTCTATCAGATGGCTGCCCTCCTTCCAAAGTGATACAAACCGGCCGTTCTTCTCGACAGGGCTGTCCTGCTCACCGATATATTAGCAATGAAAGAATCGTCAACATGCTTAGGAATAGCACTTACGCTGGATGGCTCGAATTTGACAGTGGTGGTGTGGTCAGCGATCTCCGACTGGTTTGGGTCCTCACGATACCCGGTCCATTTCTCGCGAGCAGCTGGGTGAACTGTCATGGGCATTTGGCCGAGCATCTAGGGGTATGTCTTAGCAAAAGGGTATCACAAATAGTTGCAGCGAATGTAGAGCACTTACCCCCAGAGTCTGGAAATTTGGTAATGCTGGTTGATGCGCAGGAGCCTTGTAGGTCTTCGCCAAAGGCTTCCCTTTAGGCGGGTTGGTACTGGTTGGTGCAGTTTTGAGTCCCATCTCCTGGCGTACCTTCTCTTCGATATTTCGAAGATTGTAGCGAGTCGACATCATAAATAACTGAAGTATGGTGTTGAGTATATGACTGGGCTGAGTAACAAAGTTTGTGCCTAGCTGGTGGTGTGGTTTGTGGGGGACCAGTCGGTGGTGGTTGTGTAAGTGTAGTAATAAGTGCGAAGTAGGGATAAACGGGTTTATATAGAAACAAGAAACAACCGAAGGGTAGTGAACGGAGGCAGCATGCCTGGAATAGTGAACTCCAGCACTGTTGCATTTTGAGGTGTAGAATTCACACGCAGACTCTCAGTTGCTGGAGAATTTGGTGGGGATTTCCGACAAGAGCCGCGCAAAACGGAGCCTGTTCCTACCGTGAGTTCTTTATAAAGGCACACGTTGGGGAGCTGGAAGGATTTGAGCTTTAGTTTAAGCAGAGAAAGATGGGTTGATTGTCGATTGGATTTAGCCCGAGAGAAATCTCTAGAGCAGGCTAGAAAAGCGGGCCACATGCGTGGTGTCTGACAGCATCGATTAGCAGCGTCCGGCCTTCATCCCTATGGTTTACCAATCGGATTAGGTCTTCGATTTGCGGTGTCATTTGCACTAAGTCGCCCAGAAGATCAAACGAGGTAAGCCTAGAAGTAAGCTCCCAGCAAACCGGTTGAGTGCTAGGGACACACCCAGGCGAGACGGGTAGACGCATGCTTGGGCGTCCGATTCTCGATAACGAAGCGTTTGTTCTACGTATATTAAGAATTAGCATCAGCGATCTTCCATCTGGTAAGTCTGGGGTTCACCCCGAAGACCGCCACCTTCCGCCGCCCGCCGAGTTAGGCTCAAGTGACCACCCCCTTTGTTTACATCGTTATGCAGTTCGCTGTCTGACTTTGCCGCTGCTGACGTAGTAGATCGACCACAATCTTGGCTTATATGTCAGTAAATTCATTAAAGCGCAACCTTAGATGTATAACAGCCAACTTACGAGTTTCCCTTTCGCACTTCGGCCCTCATAACCTCCTCGACACGACATCGCTGCACAGATCATCCGCTTACCGATTCCACCACCACTTGTAGTGTCACCATATAATCAAATTATAACACACCATGTCTCTCGACAGGCATGAACGAGAGTTGGCGAGAAGGATCAAGGTCCTCAAGCAGCAAGGCTTCGTGCCATCCCCTCCGCTTTTCAGCAAGGAGGAGGTAAGCCAGCATTTTGAACGCAGAAAAGTAAGGTAATACTAAACCCATAACACAGGAGGATCCGATAGAAGTGCCATCATCGTAGCAAAACCAGATGGGGATTCCGGCGTGGCGGTCGCGAAAGCCGCTGGTGGACCCTGCAGGCAATTCGCCAGGTCGATCTCTCCGCGAGATTCAAGATGCCTTCCGCTCGATGGACATGAGAGAGCCCGAACAGCCGCGAAGAGCAGAGTCTCCTCTCGACTTCGGCCTGGGCGAGGTTAGTCGAATCGAGTCCACAATATTGGATTTTATATACTCATCTCATCATCCAGTACGACCAGAGAAGCGCCACGGAGGATGAGCCCGCTCCCGAATCCAGGGCGTCTGCTGCTTTTCAGTTCTCAGCCGACTTCAACTTCACACCGAACACGGTCACGAATCGCATCCCATCCGCGCCAGACAGCGATTGGAACCAGGTTCCACTGGGTCTCTACTTCGAGACGATGACACACTTAGTAGACCGAACCTTGATCCATTCGGAGATCCGCACAGCCCTACATAGCAAGCGCACCGGAGACGAGCGGCCGACGACTAATTGCGACGTGTCACAAGCTGCGATTGATTCTCATCTTGCCGGTGAAGCGGAAGCAATCGGGCACCGATTCTCTGCCCAGATTGCCGGTTCGATCATCCAGAGAATGGAGCGGATGATCTGCCTCAATAGACGACGGGTGAACGAAAGATCGGCATGGGTTCAACCGAGGCCTCAACTCAAGACCCTAAAAGAGATCATCGACGAAGTGGTTCGATACTTGGATAGGGCTAAGGAGCAGCGCGTCGAAGCCGGGGAGAGCGCCTGGCACGTAGCTCATGAGCTCACGTGGGTGGCGTGGGTACAGGAAGCAGTCCATTCCGGCACCTGGCATCTTGCGGAAGAGAGGGAGGAGTGTGAGTGTCTTGGTGTGGCAGTCTATGAAGTCGACTGAGACAATATCGAGGGACATACATGCAGATTGATAGCCATGGAAGGGGCGTATTTGTCTTTTGATTGAGGTATCACGTATCCGGCTTCCATAGCCTTAGCTTTAGATTCTGGAAAACTGTTAGTCTTGGTTGTTATCAATAATGCTATTCATACAAGTCGGACATTTTGCGCTTGCACGCCGATAAGCTTTCGCCTTGGAATGCCTGGTTCTCGCTGCTAGATTCGCTGCGTCAACTGTCGAGCATGGGTGCTCCTAGTTTCAACTCCTTAGTCCAGGATCAGTGAAAGAGCGGGTATGACTCATCCAACATCTATGAAAAGACTTCCGCGTGCTACTGTCAGTACTGTAAAGTGGCGATCACTGACATCAGCAGTATCTCAAAATATTTGGTAATATTTGAGATGATACTTCCTCATGCTATGTTCCGCCTCTCAACTTTTATGTGCCTCATAACAAGTCTCATAGACTCCAGTAATGGTTGCCAAGGAGATATCCGGAGTCGACACATTTTCTCCTTACTTCTTCTTGAACTCCGCCAACTTCTCTTCAACAGCCTTCCTGATATCCATTCCAACACTGCCACCCCTCTTTCGCCTCTCTTCGATCTCTTTTCTCACCTCCGCAACGATCTCATCCATTTCCGCTTCAGGATCATCTGGCAGTCCAAGGGTTGGTGCACGCTGGATTCTCTCTTTTGCTTGCTCGATCTTGACGACTTCCTCGATCTTGCCCTTGTTGCGTTTCTTGAGCTGAGCTTGGAGCTGTGGCTTGATGGGAGAATTGAGGGCACCAAAGCACGCAGCGACGCCAATGAGGCAGTAAAAGTAGACACGGGCCCACACGGTGATGGAGCTTGAGAACGAGAGAAAGACGAAGGGCGCGACGGTGAAGGAGAAGGCGAGTTGGGTGACGAGTATCGTGACGAGGTCATAATAGCGCTTCTTGGGGGTTTCGGAGCCACCATCGGCGGTAAGGAAGAACGGGCGAAGGAGACGACGGCCATCTAGAGAGCGTCAGTAAATTGAACTAAGAGGAACTTACAAGGGCAGGAATGTATACTCTTGGCAATCGTTTGTAGAAGAGATGCGAGGATGAAGGCCATGTAGTATCCTGGATAAAACCCATGCCAAAATGCGCTGGTGAAGAAGGTGGCTAAAGTTGCTCGGAAGCCTGGCTTCTTGCCCTTCGGTGTGACCCTCAAGTAGACGTAATTTCGGAGCCAGTTGTTCGTATTGATATTCCAGTTTCCAAGGTAGGCACGGGTATTCTGCGCCGTTTCGATATCCCAGGGACGCACATTTTGCAAGCGATGCCACGAAGCGCGTCCAGTCTTGGGGTCAATTCCGTTGTAGCCAATTCCGGAAAGAATACATGCGCCTTCTGTCAACGACCAGACACCATAGTATTTCATACGCGTAGTCAATCCCAGCATGTGAAGGTTCCAAATTCGACGGAAGATACCGTACTTGAGAAAGCTATCAGAAAGAAGGGCATCGGTATTATACCAGGCGGAGAACTTGAGAAACGCGAGAATCCAGATGATGCCATAGCCAAAGTTCCAAGCTGCTGGAGTACCGCTGCGAGGAATCTTGCGCTTCTTGCGGGTCGGAGGGCCCTTGGAAGGATCGACACCAGGAGGTAGCTGAAACATAGTGGTGCTGATGTATTGACGATAGTCACAGAAGTCGAAAGCTGGACCAGCCATTAACCCAGGAAAGAAAAACTAGACGCCTCATCAGAAACCATGCTGAGAGTGCTGTTACGCTACACTTACGACGTATCCGGCATAATCAAGCAGGTTGGGAATTTCTTTGATGGCATGCTCCTTCTGGAAATCCGAGAGCTCAGTATCTGGAAGTCTTCCATCATACACGTTCCAGCAGAACGCCGTGAGCTTCATGATTAGAACCATCTGAGCACCAGTGATATCGATAGCTCCAGGGTCATTCACAATCATCCGTTGGATGTGGTTAACGGACATGTGACCCATGTTGTAGGCGAATCCGATCCATGGCATGTAAGGAGAATCCACGAACATGGCTATGCCATAAGTAACCCCCGATGCCCATATTAGCGTCCGTAGGCCATCCCAAAGGTCGAAGAGCCCGATGAGATAAAATAGTGACACTCTATCTTGGGTCAGTGCGTTTTCACAGATGGACATGGAGTGCTACGAACCCTACTATGAACACATTCTTCCGCCAAGGTAAATTGTCGGGGATTCGTTTCAAAATAGCAGCGAGAGGATATGAGAGGAGGAAAGAGAAGATAAGCTTGACTGTTAACACAAATTAGGTATAACAACCCCTCTAAGAGTACAGCGGACCTTACGCTCATCTACGGAAGCACCTAGGGCATTTCCCGCATATTCAAAAGCTACCAGTACACACATTAGCAAGTTTTCCGTAGATTAACATCATCGGATAGGCTCACGGGTGTTGATGTAGGGAAGCATGATGAATGTTGAGGTGCGAGGAAGCGATGTGAGATGCCGAGGGACAGTTTGTGGGAAATAAAAAGGTGACGTATTCAAGCTCGTGTCTGCATCAAGGAGAGCACTGCATCTTCAAGCTTCGAGGTGAGAATATGAGTAGAGATAGCCGGTCTCAAGCTTCTTCGATAAGTGAGGTTCTTCGTAGGTCAAGAGATTCTGCCAGCTGCTTTGGCCTGGTGACGTCGATGTAGACCCTGGCCGTCCAAAATCGCAGATCGCCAACACGTGGGCGCGCCAAGCTGGAAGCCAAAAGCTCAGCACCACGCCAACCCATCACCACCTCGCTCGCCCGCCATGAGCTCCGTCTACAACCTCGAGCCCCAGCCGACCGCCAAGGTCCTCCTCCAGACCACTTCCGGCGATATCGAAATCGAGCTCTTCGCGAAGCAGACCCCGATTACCTCGCGAAACTTCATACAGCTCTGTCTCGATGGCTACTACGATGGCACAATATTCCACCGCCTGGTCCCAGGCTTCATCATCCAGGGCGGCGATCCAACTGGAACGGGATCTGGAGGGGAGAGTAGCTACGATGGCGAGCCGTTCGTGGACGAGTATCACAGCAGGCTGAAGTATAACAGGCGAGGTCTGCTGGGGATGGCCAACTCAGGGAAAAAGGATGATAATGGCAGTCAATTCTTTCTCACGCTGGGCAACACGCCCGAGCTTACTGGGAAGAATACTTTCTTTGGGCGCGTGGCAGGAGACACAATCTACAATTTGATGAAGATGGGAGAGGCGGACCTGGCAGAGGAGGGAGGGGACAGGCCGCTATATCCCACCAAAATCACAGGCACAGAGATACTGGTCAACCCTTTTGAGGGCATGGAGAAGAGGATCAAGACAGCAAAGTCTGCTGTAGAGGAGGTTAAGCCAAAGAAGAAGCCGAAGCGGAAGGCTGGAAAAGCCCTTCTTAGTTTCGGCGGAGACGAAGGCGAAGACGACGCACCAGCTCCAATCGTCAAGAAGGCGAAATTCAATCCCAATCTCGTTGATACCGGGGAAGTAAACCAGCCCGCGAAGAGGACCGCCCCAACACCAGCCGCTGTGGAACCGACGAAAGAAATCCCCATTCGACGACCAACACCCGCCTCTCCCTCTCCTGCTCCGCCTTCAGCTCCGGCACGGGCATCGAAACCGAACTCCCCTCCTCGGAAAGTGAAACCACGATCCCCATCGCGATCTCCCTCCCCAGAATCGCGTCAGGCCGCCCTCCTCGCCCGAACAAACGCACAAATCGCCGAGCTCAAGGCTTCTATGAAACGTACGACCGCTACCTCCGCAGCTGCAGCTCCGAAGAAGAAGTCCGCGCTCGAGGCATTAATACCTGAGACATCAGTGCGTGCGCGTAAGAGGCGGCCAGGAGCCACGAACGCGGAGACGGACAAGGATACTTTGGCGCTACTAGATGCTTTCAAAGCGAAGCTGGAATCTGCGCCTGCGGTGGAGAAACACCCACTTCATATACCGGCTGCGGAAAATGGAGCTAGCAATGGCGACCACGCTCCACTGAATGGAAAATCGGTGCCTGCGCCCGAGGACGATGATGAAAAGACGTGCGATCTACACTTCATTGTGGGCTGCCAATCCTGCACAGCGTGGGACGCGCAACAGGAGGAAGAGTCGGAAGACGATGATGGGTGGATGAGCCACGCGTTGAGTTTCGCCAAAGACAGGCTTGGGAAGGATCTCGAGTGGAAGCGGAAAAACGAGGAGGAGCTCGTGGTCATCGACCCGAGGGAGAAAGCGAAAGAGATCAAAAAGGGGAGAAAAGGTAAGGAGAAGAGGTAGAGCGGTTTGTCGATTCGGTAAGTATTTACCAAATCTTTCGGAATATGAACACAATATTTTCTACCCTTCGAAGAGCCTTCAAGATTGCTGAGCCAAATCACATAGCGCCGTATGCCATTCAAATAATAATAAAACCTCGCATCTGCATAATTCCTAGTGCCACGTAAGTCCGACTTCGCACATCTTTCGATTCGGGGTATGAAATCTTGCCCAAGAAGCCAGGTTTGTCCTCACGAAGGTATAGCAGCACCAAAAGAATCATCGTGCCGGACATTTCATGCTTATTGCTGAACACTGATGTCTTTTCCTGATGGTGTTGGTCCCAGTCGCACATACTTACTCCTCGCTATCCTTTACAGTCTTCGCCATTCAGCAGCGTATCTCAACTTGTGATAATCAACGTCATCAAGCTTCCGCTGTCAACCCACTCTCCCACATGCGTCTCCCTCTTTTCGTTCGTACGGACGCTCCAACCCACTCACCCCAGTCCAACATGAGTCTGTGTATATACAGACTTTGAACATGTGGCGACGCAATAACAATTTTTCGATTCAAAGCTACTACCCGACCAGCGCCCACATGAGCTTGTTTTCCATTTCCATCTGACTTCACAAGACCGCTGAACCATGTAACCTTCAATAGCCTTGTTTGAAATCCCAAATCGAAGTCCATGCCCCCGCCATGCCTAAGGCGAGCTCGAGGAGCCAGCGATGCGCTCTTATACCTGATGAAGGAAGAAAAACGCCTTACGACACATGACCGTCTTCTGTGTTAGGTAACGGCTTGAATTACTTTTGCTTAGTCTAGTCCGCTATTTAGTGAAGGCAACGTCCTCAAGATATCAGCCTTTTTCCCGAGCTTCTGAGCTCTCATGGGTTCTGGTGAGAATGAAGAACAGAAATAGCAGTTGCGAGCGAGACGAATGAACTGAATATTCAGGCGAGAACTGATAAATCTGCTGAAGCAAACATGCTTGAATTTAATCGAGGATTGTCTAGTGAGTTTGGGGCTCTTCTTCTCTCTTTTTGAGAGCATCTTTACTCTCGTAAATGATTTCTAGGTCACATGTTTCGAGATCTAATCTCGGACCATTTGCGTGGCCTTGTCCAGTCCGACCGCAGACAACTGCTATCCATCTCAACACCACAGTCACATTTCAATGCCATCCAGACTGTGTGGCCCGAAGCGTCTTCATGTGCAGTACCTGCTCCGTTGGCTCTCAGTTGACACCATGCTCTGGCGCTGCTCCCACAGGTCCCCAGACAGACCTCTCGACCAGCGACACCATCCTACCGCTCTCCTTGTCGATCTTGGCGAACATGAAGCTCTCGAACGCGGTCTCGGTGCCATTGACCTTAATGGTGCCCGTCATGCGTGCCGCCAGTTGGTCGCCGTCGCGAAGGAACTCGTCGCTAAGCAAGAGAGGAGGTAGATGTCAGTTTGAAGCTCTGTTCCACCTAAAGGAGAAAAATGTACCCACAATCGGGTTGTAGTCGCTAATCTTGGCCCTCCACTCAGCGATGCCCTTGACATAGTCGTCGTACTCAATGCGCTGGCCGTTCATGACTTGATAGAAGGTAGGCGTTGCGGTGCCCGCGGCGTATAGCGTAGCCTCCTCCGGCGGGCCGGTGAGGCTCCACTTCGTGGCGCGCTGGAAGCCTTCGCGAGTGGACGTGTATTCCGAGATGGTGCTTGGTGGCGTTTGGGAGGTTTAGTGGATGTATGGCTGCCAAGGTGTTGATGGAGCAAATTACGGAGAATAGGAACACTAGGGAGGCGTCCGTACTCAAATGTGGAGCTCCCCCGCCGGTTCCTTTGGTCCTTTGCGGGGTTCTGCCATCTACCGCCTACTAGCGTCACCACAATTGCGGAAGTTGATATTAGTGCAGAGTCTAGAAGGGTTTTCAGAGGACGTGTGGTCTCTACCTAGTTTCAGCCATTCGACTAAGCTCCCGCCCGTCTGAGTATCAAAGGTATATAAACTAGCTCTCCTTCTCTCTACGCCTCTCCCAGGCCTAGTCAACCATTATCATCTACTCTCAAGCCTCAAATATCCACCTCGTCGATCTCAAGTCTTTAGTTTCTTTGCTTAACGCCTCAAACCATCGAGAACTGGCGGTTTCTTTCACACCGTTCTCCTCAATCATGACGCAAGCACAATCCCTCCGCGAGCAGCAAGGTCCCATAAAATCTTCGTATCGCGATACACCTAATGCTGCCCTCGTCACCCTCAAATCCACCGGCTCTCTCGACTCCAGCTCAATAACCTGCAAACTCGAAACCGGCTCTGCTCTAAAATTTGCCTCCAAAATCGCAGGCCTGCATCCTAAAGCCGGCGGCCCCGACCCCGAACTCTCCGGCGAGCTATGCTCCGGTGATATGCTGCTTGACGCGCTCGTCGCTTGTTCTGGCGTAACGCTCAAGGCAGTCGCAACAGCGCTCGGGATACCGATAGAGAAGGGAACGGTGACCGCGGAGGGCGATATGGATTTCAAGGGGACGTTGGGCGTGGATAAGACAGCGCCAGTGGGGATTACGGATATTCGGCTGGCGTTTGATCTGCAATTTGGCTTGAAAGAGGGAGGTGAACAGGTTACGGATGACGATGTTGAGAAGTTGGGCAAGCTGACAGAGAGGTACTGTGTCGTGCTTCAGACATTGGTAAGGAAGCCAAGTCTAGCGGTAAGGGTTCTAGGGAAAGGGAAAGAAGAGGATGGGATCGAGAGGCAGGTTGGTTGGGGGAAGAAACTCTAGACAGGGTGTTTGTGATCGGTACCAAACGATCTGGCAGCGAGACGAAGAGCAAAAATACTACCCTTAGAAAAAGCGAACCATTGACAGGGTGTCTTTGATTCTTTGGCCGTTCGACCTCCTGCGTCTTTTTCTAAGCGATCCATTTGCCTCGAACTTTGCTACGTTCTTAAGAGATCGACGAGAAGCAGCACTTGGAAAACCAGGCAACCCCTTAAGTCGACACTGCAAATAAAGTCCCGGACTTGAACACACGAACTAGATGGCCTAGAATTGGCGACGATACAAACTCAAATACCACCCATCCTCCCGCCACTTACCCCGCCTGCCCGCTTCCGGTCGGCCGACCCTGGAAGACATATCAAGTCTATCGAACGGACGCCATCTCCAGAACACAGTCAAACAACATGGGGTCCACGAGTGATAACCTAAAGAGTATCGTCATTGCAGCGGTAAGTACATCCAATGCAAAACCCTTGCCAGATTCAGTGTCGACAGGTCACGTGATATCAAACTTCCCCACCACACCTCCTTTCTTTCAAGCTCAAGCTCAAGCTCCAGAGGTTTGAATACCAGTACTAATAGTTCCTAGACGCCCACAGCGCCGCTTCTATCTCACCTTCTCCACGCCCTCTCCCACCAACCCGGCATCACAGTCACCGTCCTCACGCGCAAAACCACCGTCTCCCTCCCCCTCTCATCCGGCCACTCCCACTCCCACAACCATGACTCAAACGCCCACCACCACGACGCCGAGATCTTACATATTGAAACCTCCTTCTCCGCCGCAGAGCTCCAGACCCACCTAAGAAAGAACGACACCCTCATCTGCTACCTAGAAGGCTCCGACCTGCACCTCAGCGCCGACCTCATCGACGCCGCCACCGCAGCCGGCGTCAAAACCTTCATTCCCTCAGAATACGGTCTTGACACCAGCAACGCAAAAGTTAGAGAGCTGCTGCATCCCTACCGCATGCGCTACGAAACGCAACAGAAGCTGAAAAGCAGCGGGATGAACTGGACTGCTATCTACTCTGGAGTTGAACTCGAGGAAGCGATGAAGGCGGATGGTGTGCTGGGGATTGATTGTCTATGGGCGAGCGTAGTCGTGTTTCCGCATGATAGGAATCTGAGAATTGCGGTGTCTACTTACAAGGATATTGCGAAATCGATTGTGGAGGTGGCGACTGAGCGGAGGAAAGTGGAGGGGAATGAGGTGTGGACGTGTAGCTTTCAGGCTTCGCAGGATGAGTTGGTTGAGGCTGTTGAGAAGAAGTTGGAGAGGGGGTTGGATCGGTATGAGGGACTTATTGAGGGTGCGAAGAAGGAGGCGAATGAGAGGATGAGGAGGGGATATTTTGATGGTGGGGTGGCGCTGATGGGGAGGGTGGCTGTTTGGGATGATAGAGTTGGTGCGTGGGCGGGGTGGAAGGGGGTGAGTGAGGGTGGGAAGGATGGGTGGCGGGATGAGGTTGGGAGGGTCGCATTGACGGTTAGGAATGGGGAGATTGGGGGAGATGGTGGGTGTGGATGTTAGACTCCTTTTGTACGTTTCATTCTCGGAGGCACTCCGATTTGTAAGTTTCAACTCATGACGATGGAGTACCCATGAAAATGTATGTGTTTGTACTGTCTCAGCCCTCCGAGTTTCAACCGCAGTCAGAAAACTCTTGATATTTATACAATCTAGCGAATAATGGAACGAGATGAAGGGGGGTAGGAGGTGTGAAACAAACGCGTAGTAGATTTGCGAAGCGTAGTCTTTCTCGCTTTTGTGCTCTTGAGCTGGAAGTCAGAGGAAGTAGGAGGAAAGGCTTTGTACCTATACAGTAGGTGCTAAGTTATTGATTATAGCATCACGTGATGAACAGCCCAGTGACATCTAGTACCACACCAGGTATGTTGACGCAACCTAATCTGCCTCCAGGATAAGAGCAAGTCACGGCATGAGGTATGAGGATGGAATCGGTAGACAATAATATATTGAGGGAGAGACGAGTCCTTAGCGAAATTCAGGATCCGGAGGATCGGGGTGACTTAGGTGCGAGCCTCAAGCGAGCACGTGAGATGCCATGGTACGGATCGGATACTCGGCGTGCTACCTAGGTATACCCGACAGATAAGGGATGGTGGGAGGATAGAGACAAGCCCTACTGCGTGCGTTGTGGCGTGGCGATGAGATTCGGACTTTGCACGAAGGCTGATGATTGTCGTGTTTGCAGCGTTTGTCTCGTGTACGCCACGTGACTCCATTCAAAATAGACGTCTCACCCCCTTCTCACCGGCTTAGAAGGTATTTCTTCTTCTTTCTGTTGCTGGGTCTGCTATTAGATTAGTCTATAGGTGGATACTCTTAAGGTGCAGCACGACGTACGATTCGACGGGCTAAAGTAACGCTGTTGCCAGAGCGAAACAAGCCCGATAGCTAACTGAAGGACGCCAAAGATGATAGAAATGATGATCTGCGCAGACGGCAGTGGTGGAGCCATGATAAAAAATGTGGAGGCTAACTCGAAGTGTGAATGTTTTTGGGGAGCAATGGAACCGGTACTATTCCAGGGTGAGGCGAATAGATTCACTGGACTTCGAAGAGCACCGTACGCTTGCTGCGAAGGAGACTCACCCTACGGTGAGTACAATAGCTTTTATTCAATACAGTTTAGTACTTTTGCGAGGAGTGGTCACTTTGAACTTCGACAGAGTGCCGAACACAATCCTTATGGCGCACTCGGGGCTCACCGGTACTACCAAAACAGCAACACGAACCAGCATGAAGAAAGATAGTACTTTTGATTGAGGCTTCCATTATTGCGGCTTCCATTATTGCAGCATGGTGCACGGTAAGCAAATGCACGGCACGAGCCATCTCCTCCAGTCAGGAACAGAAAGAGAACTGTGCGGCGAAGTGGATGGCGAAAATAGTGCCTCTGAAACAGGACTTGTGCATGGCCCCATGCTTGCTGTCGAGATTGTACTTTTGCAAAACGCGGGATGTGCGCCCAGCCGCCCGCACCCTGGTAGAATTATACGCTAGCCGTCCACGCCGTCGTTATCCTTGCATGCTCAGCCGCAGTGACGATGCATGGGATGGGAGTTTTGTTCGTCCAATCAACCCTCGTCTGCCACCGCTGCACTTCAGCCCGGTTTGCAGTCGGTGTGTATATCTTCTCAATATCGCGGCCAGGCTGTAAAATAGCCAACCTGCAACATCACTCCCTTTCTTCACGTTCACCTCCTCCTCTCAGACGATACTACGAAGTCCTGCACTCAAATTTCCAATCAAAAACAGCTCGGTCAGGCTACCAGCACGCGGAGGCCCGAAGAAAAGTCAGCATGAATCCCTGGGCGACGAATTCGCCCGTTCTCGGCGAGCTCGATTTTTCATATCCCATTCCAAGTCCTCCCGTCCCACAGCAAGCATACGGGCTTTACAGTAGTCCCATGGCGCCCCATAATATGGCCTCACAGACGCTACCGACGGATGGACAAATTACGACTGGTCAAAGCAGTGCGCCCCAATTGTTCTCTCCCTCTCCAGCGCTTCATAGCCATGCGTTCCATCACGCTGAATCATTCGACGCTGCCCCACCCGTTCCCACGACTTCCATGGGCCCGCCAGCCAAGCCAAGAAAGAGAAAGGCTCCGACACTGCGTGCAGACGATTGGGAGCCATACGAAGATCGAATTTTAGAGCTCCATATTACGCAAAACTTACCGCTTCCGAAAGTGATGAAGATAATTGAGGATGAAACTGGGTTTACCGCTGAGTATGTTTCTCCTTTCGCGTTATGTGCCAGTGATATCGAGTGTAGTCGCACATCTAAGCTTACACTTTGAAGGCTACGACAGTATAGAACATGTATAAGTCGGTTGAAAAAAGACAAGAACGTCAAGCCAAATGAGATGAAAGCAATTGTTAGGAAGCGACAGAAAAGGAAGCTTGTAGAAGTCGACAGAGGCGAGCTTATATTTGAAGTCAGAGGCCGCAAAGTGGAGCCACAAAATATCGACAGATGGATGAAGAGACATCATCATCCCGAAGGCTTCTTGTATGCCCCCAGTCCCGCTGCATGTAAGTAGACGTACAATCTCTATCACATCCGTACGATACTGACATGCCGAAGCAACCCCATCCGATGTGGGATGTCGAACGGTCTCCGAACGCGATTCTCCGGCTCCAAGCCCTGCGTACTCAGCAGGGATTCCATGTTTCTCACCAGCAGCCGTTACGTCTGTCGCCCATAGTCCTCCGATGCTGTCTCCTGCCCTCTCAATCTCGAGCATAGTTCGACCCCAAGACAGCACTTTTGCAGGGCAGAGTCCGGCTAGCACCTATCAATATGGTCCAGGCTCGCCACCAGCCTTTACTCCAGGCTCCCCACCCACTTTGATCGCATCCCAACGCCAATCTACCTCGGCAGATCCTCAGTATCGGTATCTACAAAAAGAGGAACAGGGACTGCGGGAAGAACTGTCCTTCGCCGAAAATCTGCATAGGATGAGCCACCCGAGGGCCTTAGGCGTACTCTCCAGGTTAGGCGAGGTACTAATACGCCAAGGAAGATATAGGTCCGCGGAGGAAGTAGTTCGCAGATTGGTGGAAGGTCGCCGAGTTACAAATGGAGACAATGAAGTCAGCACACTTGCTGCTTTAAATCTCCTTGGAGACGTTCTACGTTATCAAGGACTCTACGCTAAAGCGGAGAAATTGCACCGACGAACATTCGAGTCTAGGAAGGCCATACTGGGAGACGAGCATCCAGACACGCTGATTAGCATGGGTAACCTAGCGGCGACGTATGGGAAACAAGGGCGGTTAAAGGAGGCCGAAGAGCTAGAGGTGCAAGTATTGGAGACGAAAAAGAGGGTGCTTGGGGACGAGCATCCAAAAACGCTGACTAGCATGTGTAACCTAGCGGCGACGTATGGGAAAC